TTGAAGTAGTTCAGGGCACAATGTAAACATGTGCTTTTCAATGGATGGTAAATAGGAAAGTGCACAATGAAAGGAGCAGTTGGGAGAGGGGGGTTTGGAACCAGGGCACAGGGGGTTTTGTGGTTTGTTTTTTTTTTTTTTTTGTGTGCGTGGAGTTGAGTTTAGAATTAAAAGAAGTGCTTGACGTTTGTGTTCTGAGACCCTCAGCGTGCGGGAGCGACGGAGAAACCGCGGGCCCCATGTGGCGTTGGGAAAAAAAAAAAATTAAAAAAAAATATTTAAAAAAAAGGAGCAGCACTTGAAGGGTTTGGAGGTTTGAAAAGGAGCTCAAGCTCCTTGTTCTGGGAGCCTGGGAAGGGTTTGTGTTTGGGATTTATTGAAGCGTGGCAGATGTGCCTGAGCCCCACAAAAAAAAAAAACAAAAAATAAATAAAATAAAAACCCCTTTGAGCGAGGCCAATCCCGGCCCCGTGGCCGCCTCGGAGGCAGGATGAGCCCAGGGAGAAGTGCAGGATCGTGGGCTCTGTGTTCTGCATCCCCCTCTCCATGGCAGGCAGCTGAAATGGGCCATTAGCTATCAGGGAAAATTGTCTTTGCTCCTTTCAGCAGATGGAGCAAATATTTTACAAAGCAATTTTACATAGGAAAAACATTTGTGTGAGGCTGTAATGAAGGCTGTTTGCCATGATGGGACCTGAGCTCTGAACGTGCTTCTCCAGCTCTGGGGAAGGCAAAATTGGCACTTCTTTTAATTTTAAAATTTGCAGTTAACAGTGAAAAGCCGGGGCTTTAAATCAAGTGGCAAACTTTAAGTAGATAGAGAGTGCTCAGTTTGCTTCCAAAGCCATTCCCTGGTTTTTTGTTTTTTTTTAGATCTACTCACTGTGGTACTTTGTGCTTCTGGCCAGGGTGCACCTATCTGAACGAGGCAAAAAAAAAAGTGTCCAACCGGTTGAATTTGTAAAATTAGGAAATAATGGCAGTTATTTGGGCAGCACTCACTGGCTCCTTCCATGGTTGCTGGTGTCAGGGAGAACATCACAACGAGCTGGCCTGGACCAATTCCCGTGCAGACTGGAATAAGTTATCCCAGCTCCACTGATCACAAGGGAAAGGATGGACTTGTAAATGGTAGGAATTGTCACTGTGCCACCCAAATGGCAGAAATGGCCACAGCTCCATTGAGTGCAGCAGAGTTGTGGCACTTTTGTATTGCTCAGGAGCTCTCTGCTGATTTTATTCCTCTCTGGCCCCTCTCGGATTTACTAATTTGGAGTTTTTTTCTTCACTCTGTTTGCTTGCAAGGTCTAAATAATTTCCTTTCCGTCTGATTTTTAGCTAAAAAGCCCTGGGTCTTATGCATCTTGCTCTGCCTCCTTCTTTCCCCAGATCTTTCTTCCTATCTCTTCTTCCTATTTATTTATTTCTCTTCTCAACAGGCTTTTCTTTGCTGACTGATCTGTCTCCAGCAGATTTTCTACCACTGCCTTCAACATCTGCCACGCTTGCTCCTAATTTCTTGTTGCAACTGCCTAAGCAAACCTTTGAAAATTCATCTTGCAGAAGGGTGAGAAATTATTTCTTATTTAGTGGGGGAAAAAAAAAGCTGTAATTTTTTTTTTCTTTTTTGTGCTTCTTCGTTGTTAGAGAAGGGTGCAAAACCAATTGGGAGAGATGTAAAGATTTCTACATGATATGAACAATATTTGGGCTGCTCATTTTTCCTGCTGCTAAGAAACATCAGCTGCAAGATTTGAACAAATCCTCCCTGTTTCTGTCGAGCCTGTGATCCCGGATTGTTTGGGGCCACATCAAGAAATAAAACATTGGTAGGCTCTGCTGGAGATAGTGCCCAATTTAAATGAAATTAGCCAGCTGAGCACTGATCCTTTTAAAAGGTTTGACTTCATGACTGAATGTTGGATCCAGGCTTGAATTTGCCTACTAAAACTCCCTGTAATCAGGATTATTGCCTTTTTTTAGAGCTTCTCAGTTGCAAAAAAAAAAAAAAAACAACAAAAAAAAACCCAACCAGAATTCCAGGTGCTGATCCTTGCAGGGTGACTCCTTTCTGTGAACACTCTGTTGTTTGTTCAAGGCTTTGGAGCTCAAGGGAAGTGTGTCAGATTTTCTTGTGAATTGATTATTTCTTTAAAATCCTGCTTTGTTTCTGTTCCAGCCAGGTTTGGTGCTCACATCCTTCACACTCACCAGTGCTGGGGCTGCCCCTGGATCCCTGGAATTGTCCAGGTTGGAACCTGGGATAGTGGAATTTGTCCCTGCCCATGGAATGGGATGGGATTTAAATTCCTTCCCCAGCCAAACCGCTCCAGGATTCTGTGATTTATTATCCTAAAGCAGCCACACCTCAAATGTGCGAGAAGAACTTTGAAAAGGCAGAGAAAAAAAAAGTCCCGTGGAAGTTCTGCCTGATTTTACAGCCGGGTTAGGGAGGTTTTTTTTTTTCCACAGCCACGTGTGATCCTGCAGCTCTGAGTGAGAGACAGCTCAGAATTGTAGAATTGTTATTCTGCAAAGTTGTGTCCCAGTTTAATTGTTACACAAATTGGGCACAGCACTCCCAAATGCCTCCACATCCAGCAGAAATTCCTGGTTGGGTTTTTTTGGTTTTTTTTTTTTTCCCTTGTGATTTATCAAAATCTTTCAGGCAGCCACTGCCCACCCTTTGCTTTGTTTGTTTTTCTATTTCTCAATATATTTTCTCTTCTCAATACCCCAAGTCAGCAGGTCTCAGGGATGAGCTGGGAGTGACAGATGCTGAGAACTGATTTGTGGGGCAGCAATTCCAGCACATCCATCACGGTTCTCATCCTCTCTCCAAAGCCACAGGAATTTTCATGAGCCACCTCAGCCTGTGCCTTGTTGGCTCAGCAATAATTCAGCACAAATACAAACCCACACAAGGCCAATGGATATTTATTTGCTCACAGCTCTGCTGTTCCAGTCAGCTGAGCCATCCAAAACCAAAATTCCTCCTTCAAATCCTGAGCAAATGAGCAGGGTAAAGACCTAAGCTTGGGTAAATTCTGAGTTTGGATCTCACATTTTCTCTGCTCCTTTGTTTTTGGGTTAATTGTGAGTTTGGATCTCACATTTTTTCTGCTCCTTTGTTTTTGGGTTAATTGTGAGCTTGGATCTCATGTTTTATGTGCTCCTTTGTTTTTGAGTAAATTCTGAGCTTGGATCTCACATTTTTTGTGCCCCTTTGTTTTTGGGTTAATTGTGAGTTTGGATCTCACGTTTTTTGTGCTCCTTTGTTTTTGGGTTAATTGTGAGCTTGGATCTCATGTTTTTTGTGCTCCTTTGTTTTTGGGTTAAGTCAGAGCTTGGATCTCACATTTTTTCCTGCTCCTTTGTTTTTGCCATGAGGTCGTGCTGCTTAGTGTATTGATCTACTGACTAAAACCATTTTTAACCCCTTTTTTTTGTGATATTTTTGAAGTCAAGAACAGCCTTTTCACCTTATTCTATGACAGGAGCCCACATATCCCATATCAGCATCACCATCTAAGCCCCTCAATATTTTTAAGGTATTTTTTCCCCTCAATTCCATGTGGGGCAGGGACACCAATCGTCCCCATTCCTGGAAAATCCCTTTGCTGAAATCTCAAGGTGGCTGCAGGCAGGACCAGGTTTTATCCAGCTCTCCTGCATGCAGAATTAACCCCAGATTCCCCAATTTTCCAGAGAAGCTGTGGCTGCCCCATCCCTGGCAGTGTCCAGGGTTGGATGGGGTTTGGAGCAGCCTGGGAGGGTGGCAGGGGTGGAACTGGATGGGATTTAATTTCCTTTCCCACCCAAACCACGCAGTGATTCTGATCATTGCTCCATCCTCCTCCTTCTGGTAGGCAAATCACAGTGAAGCCGTTTGGAATTTGCATTTTTGGTTACTTTACATCACGTGCTCCGTGATAAAAACCCATCTCTACAAACTCACTGCTCCGGAAAAAAACCGGTTTTTTTTTTTTTTTTTTTTTTTTTTTTTTTTATTTGCTCTTCTTTATTTGCTATTTTTCTCTGCTATCCTTTATTTGCTATCAGCTGTCAGCCATAAGGTTTCCTCATGTTCCTCCAGAGCCTGAGATGAAGTGATTGTGGCCGAGGACATTGCAGGATCAGAGCAGGGCTGGTCATTATGGGGTGCTGAGGAGAGGGGATGGAAAACAGAGGAAAGAGCCCCAGGGGAGCAGGGGGAGGCTCATGAAGCAGCAAGAAAAGGAGCCTGAAGCAATCCAGTCAGGGTCCTTGCACTTTATATGCTCCTGCTCTTCTGGGACTTTGGGGAGCAGTAAAAGCAGAGCAGTTACTTGCTGTATTTAATGGGGCTGGGCTGTGTGTGTGTGATAATAAAGAATTTAAAACTAGGAAAAAAAAAAAAAAAAAAAAAGCTGCTTTAGCTGTGGAGTGACTAATCAAATTCCACCAAAGACACAGGCACTTGGGAGTTTGTTACAGATATTTTACAGATTTAAAAAGGATATCTCCTGCTTTAGAAATGCTTCTGCTTGATTATTCCTGTTTTTTGTTTTTTTTTTTTTCCTAACTAAAGGGTATTTGGGTTGATAGAAGAGCTTAAGCACAGAACCAATAAAACTATTGCTGGCATATGTGACTATTTCAATATGCTGCTTCAAAATACAAGCAATGTACAAGTTATTGACTGCTGCTATTGATCCCAAAGCAGTTACCAAGTACTTGGCATTTTCAGATGCCAGATCCAATTATTGATATAAATTATAATGCAAGAGATGCTGTGCTGAGGGAGGGCCTGGCTTTCAGGGAAGGACAGTTTGCAGGAGGAGGGAAGAAGAGCAAGCAGAAGAATTAAAAAAGGCTTCCTGACTGTGGGTAAACAGTAACCACATTTTTTTTTTTTTTTTTTTTTGTGCCTGTTGGAGGCCTGGTTTTTAATCACCCCACAAGCAGTTTTCATTTCTGTAGTAAAATTGCTTGTGGTTCTATTTAATTTGTTTCTGCAGGAGCTAGCTTTGGTGAAGATCTCCCAGGAGCTGCCGGGCCTTTTAGCACAGCACGTACAGCCAGTCAATGAGAAACGATTCCCTACATGGGAAAAATTCCTCCAAACATTTCTTACTCAAGGTAAATAAGACTGCAAAGTCGCTGGGAAGTGTTAGGAGGAGTAATTATGCCATATTGTCTGCCATATTCTTGTTAGTCTTGGGCCCATTTAAATATTTATCTCCTTTTATTTCTCCATTATGCTTCAAATGTTCATTTACCAATGAATTATAGGCCACTGTTCTATCATTCATTTGTCCTGTGCAAGCTTTTAATCCATATTAATCCTGGATTCTGAATCCACAAGCAGCAGCTCCTTCATCCTTGGGTGCTGCACCAAAGGCTGTCACATTTGGGGAAAAGGTTTTAGGGAATTCCAGCACGTGAGGTAAATGTGAGAATATTTAATACATGGATTTCTTTGGGGGTTTCTTTGTGGAAGAGACAAGGATGAATCAAAGCCTTGAAGGTATTTTTCTTTTTAAATGATGCCACTTAACACATCTAATACTAATTTTATTCCACAGCAGTTTATCCCAACAAATTGGCTTATGGCATTATATGCAATGAAAAGGCAAATCCGGAATACCAAGCAGTTCTCCTGGTGATTTTGCTGTGGAAAACCATGCTGGAAGTTGTTATTTCCGTGCCAAATTCCTCTTGTGGGTGAATGGCACAGGCAGACTTTTATCTAAAACCATTACATGGATGGGAGTCTCCAAGATGAGCTCCCAGCAGGAGTTTCCATATCCCCCCAAATCCCCCCAGTGCATTTCCCAGCTGTTCTGGGGCTGGTGTGGAGCTGCATTCATTCCTGTTTTCCCAGGCAGCTCTGGGATTTATCCCAGAGTGAAAAGTCACTCATTCAACTCCTTTTTCCTCCAAGAGATTGGAGAAAGATTCCAAGGAGGAATCGAGGAGGATTCTGGCTCTGCTGCTCCCCCCTTGCACTGCTCCATTTGCTGGATCTCCAATCCCCCCCTGCAGCTCCATCCTGTGCCCTCTGAAGGGCAGCACTCGTGGATTGGATCCCGAGGGAATTCCTTTCTAATTCCAGGTGGAGTGATCGAAGCTTTCCCCTCCTCAGCCGACATCAGCAACGTGACAGTGGATCTGCTGATAGAGCCGACAGGGGAGGTGACCCTGGTGGCATCTGGGGATCAGCTCCACGCTGAGGGGCCCCTCACATCTTCTGGCACCACCATCCCACAGCGTTCCGTGCATCCAGACGTTCTTCGAGTTCTCTGCTTGAAAATCGGGGAGGCCTGTAAATCCAAAGGGGTGCTTGGCTACTTCTCCGTGGATTTTGTGGCTTTCACCCATCCCCAAACGAGGGAGCAGCAGGTTGGTGACCTCACCTGTCCCCCTGTGACTGACAAATTCCAACTCCCCTGTGGAACCCCCCAAAAAAAATATCGGGACAAAGCTTTGCCCTTTGGAACAAACCGTTTCCAAACTCTGGGGCAGGTGAGCTGAGGAAAGCCCGTGGATATTCTAACAGCATCAAATATAAACCTGATCCATTTCCTTATTTTTCACTCTCCTGACATTGTTTTCTGCTGGAATCTTCACTGAGGACCTCAGAGTTTAGGATGTGTTTGACTGTAAAAGGGAACATCCCTGGATTTTAGGGCTGTGGGGAACTTTGAGGTTTTTGGTAACTGACAGCACTGCAGGGTGGCTGTGCTGAACCAGAGAATCAGAATCATCATGGAATGCTTTGGGTAGGAAGGAACTTTAAAAATAATCTCATTTTAACACCTTCCACTATTCCAGCTTTCTCCAAACTCCCTCCAGCCTGGCCTTGGATATTCCCAGGGATTCAGGGGCAGCCCCAGCTTCTCTGGGCACCCTGTGCCAGGGCCTCACCATCCTCCCAGAATTTGTGAGCTCTGGCATTCAGATCCCACTTATATTTGACTCCCACAATGGGTGTACACAGGCTTTGCAGTCAGAACTCTGGATAAGACATGTTGGACAAGTTCCGTGGAAATTTGCTTTAAAAATATTTAGGGGTGACATTCTCACCCATGGAAATGCAGGAATGCTTCCTGGGTTATTAAGGTTGTGACATTTCCTGGCACAAACAAGGACACATTAAATCATTCATTGATTCTTGTGGCTTCTTAGAATTCCTCTCTGCTCCATCTTGGTTTTCTTCCCTTGTTCCCAGCTGATTTTTTTACCTTACCATTTCCTATGTTTATCAGCATGTACCACAACTTTAACATTATTTAAGCACAGGTTTTTAAATTTAACTGGATGTGGAGGCAATTAATGAGGCCATCTGTCTTGGGAGAGAGAGAGAGACATCACACAAAGGCTTGTGTTCCTGAAAGCACCATTTTTTTGGCAAACAAGAAATCCATTTGCTCACTTATTTCACGAGTGTCCACTTGAATGCAGTGGGTGGGAGGCTCAGATGCATTTCCTGGAAGTGCAGGGTACTCAGGAATTCTTTCCAAGTGTGTTTTTTACAGAAAATAATGATCTTTGCAGCACTAGGAGCAAAGGATGGATGAGGAACAATGTGTGTTGTCACACAGCTCGCTGGGAGCACGGAGAGAGATCCAAAGGGGCAGGGAAAGCTCCACAAAAAAATTCCCTTTTTGCCTCAGGAATCTCTTTCCATCTCAGTTCCAGGCACCTGTGCCTTGATGCTGAGGGGGAGGGAGATGGGAGAGGCTGTTTGCTGTTTTCAGTGTCTCGGGGAAGAAGTGGAGAAGCATAATTTGGAGTGAATCATTTCTGATTCCCACTTTTTTTTTTTTTCCACGATGATCATTCCAAGCAAAACCTTGGCCCCTCCGAGTGAAATCCTGGTGCTGACTGTTGGGAGATGCACCCAGATAAATCCTCTGGGTCGAGTGGGAATATTTAAACTCTTCAGCTTCCTTCCAGAAGAATTTGGAGAAGCAGGATCCTAAACCACCTTTCCCATGGTTTTTGCTCAGCCCCAGCCTTTCCCAGCAGGATCAACTGCTGGGGTTGGACAATTCCCACAGAGTCCCAAGTTCTCTCCAGACAGAGCAGAACACATTTTTTAATGTTTCAATTTCCCAACGAGAGCCACGCTGTTGTCACCAACCATCTCCCACCCCCTGTATCCAGCGGGACAGAGGCCTAAAATGGAATTTTTTTTTTTTTGGGCGAGCCCCAGCCCATGCCAGCAGCAGCCACGAGATGGCAGCTGGAGGAGAGATCCTGCAGCACTGCCCGAATCAATCCTCGTGCAGAGAGGGTTGAAAAGTCATAAAAACCACTCACTCTCTTTCCAACAGCCCCAGCTGCATTAATATTTTACTAATTGGCATTTTTACGGTATCACTCAAGCACTTCTTTAAAAAAAAAAAAAAAAAAGAGCATGGGTGCTCTTTACAATAATGCAGCCATGGGTACCAGCTGCAGATTAAACAGTTAAAGCAGACAGAGCCGAGCTGTAATTTAGTAACTCTTTAAGAATTTATGTTTCTTTCCCTTCTCAAGTTTACATTCTAAAGCCGAAGCGTTTTTATGGAAGCTGTAAAGAATTGCAGCATAATTGTGACTTTATTCACTGGAGATGTCTTCACCACAGAGTGCCAGCTCTGGAGCTGTGTGTGCCAAAGGAAGCTCCCCTGGAAGTCAATATTTCCTTGGATAAACAGCCAGCAAGTCTTGCAGGAATGTATTTCTAACTCTGGGGGGGGATTCTGGAGGTTCCTAATCTGTTCTCTGCTTAGCTTGAACCTAAATCTATCTAAAATTTTAACTGCTGCCTCTACCTCCTACCCTTTGAAAATCAAATATCAGTTCTAGGCTGTTCTGTTTCAGTTTAGTTTCTGAACAGAAATTCTGAAAATGCCCACGTTTCACATGAAAACTCCTTGTGTTCTGCTAATCTTCCATGCAATCCTGTCAGGATTTGACATTTACAATTACATGTACCCTGTTCGTGTCAGAAAATGGGGATGGGCTCAATAATGATGTTTGTTCATCTGTAGGATTTTCTCATTCTTTCTTTAAACTTTGCACAGGTCATGTCCTAAGAGCTCCTGATTTACTGGAGATGATTTATCTGGTCAGGCCCTGTGTTCTCCCAGTTCTGTAGCAGCACAAAGGGGATTTAAAGGACATTTTGGTGTTTCCATGGCAAAAGGGAATCCCCTGCTAGGATAAAGCTGGAAAATCTTGTGCCATCTGATCCTCTTTCCTTTCTCCCCCACCTTAGGGATGTTCTGGGACACATCCAGGGCAGGAGGGGGGGGACATGGCCACAATCAAAGTGTTCTCAGAGAGCCCTGAGCCAGGAAAACGATCCTTGGGGGTGATCCCAGCTGGCACCAAGGAGTGACCATTTGGCTGCTCTGAGTTCCAACAGGGGTGCTTCAGCCCCAGGCTCAGGGATGAAAGGAAAGGAGCTGGACATGTGGCTTCCAGCCATGTTTGCCTTCCTCCTCCTCCTCCTCCTCCTCCTCCTCCTCACAGCTTGTATTGGAAAGTGCAAAAATTTAAATATAATTTTATAAATTATATGAATATAAATGTAAAAGGAAAAATTGCAATGACTTTATCTAAGGAGAAGATGAAGTTTAAGGAGGTTTTGGAGCTCTCTGCTGCAGTTACAGCAGGGGAGGGGATTCACCCCTTCCTTCATCCCCCCTCTAGATCCAAACTCTTCCATTTGTGGATTTCAACAGAGATCAGTCTGAGATGATAAAACCATACCCAAAAACTCCTTTAAATCCCCTCTGGAAGCAAACAGAAACTCCTTCAACCAATATTTGTTCAATCTCCTGATTTCCAGCACGAAAAGTCGCTGTGCTAAAATCTTTTTTTCTCTCTTTTTCCCAACCCCTTCCTTGGGCAAGGGGGAATCCAGGAGAGCTCCTGCCCTTCCCAGAGCAGCCCCTGGGCAGGTGCCAGCGGGCACTGGAGCCAGGCTGGCATGCTGGGCCTTTGTTGAGGTGATTTGAAATGGATCACACGAGTAATTAATGGGTTTTTCTCCCCATCTGACACTCGAACAATGCCACTTGCACGTGTGGTAATTGTAGGCACTGACCAGGTGGGATTTGGGGAGTAACTCGTGCTCATTGTAGGGTTTGTGTGAATCCCTGGGAGGGTGCAATGAATTTATCCACTGCTGATGGCTGCTGAGCTTTGCCAGGTTGCTTTTTTAATGTTTTATCTGCTGGTAAATCCTCAGCCCATTTCCCTGCATTTTGCTCTGGGACTCATTTCAGTCTCAGGGATGCTTTTGCTTGACCTTTTTTATGGTCGCCCTTCAGTGCAGCTTTTTTGCCTCCTGCAGCTCTGTTTGTGCTCAGCAAAGCTTCCAGGTGTGGATTTTGAGGTCAGGTCTAATATCAGGGTCTGGATTAAGAGCAAACATTTCACTTGGAGCCAGTGAACAGCCCTCAGATATCCAAGATTTTCAGTCCCTCGTGCAGCTTTGCCACTTTTTATCTGAGGGCAGAGTTTGAATTGAGAGTGTAAAACGCAGCTCAGACAAGATCTGGGACATATTGACACAGATTTGTTGATAATATTTATCCAAATTAATGGAACACTACCACAATATGAACAGTTTATAATTATTGTTTGGCTCATTGGAAAGGTTAGCACATGCTGGAAAAGGAGAAATGGACAGCAAAGTCCTTCCTGTCTCTCAGAAATGATGATAAACAATAAATTATTGAAGAAAATTAAGTAGTATAATTGGGGAACCTTCCCCTATTACTAAGCAAAGGCAGCCATTAGCATCCAATTTGCATTTTAGACCGTGCAGCAGGAAATATTTAAGTTGACAAATAGGATCTTTAATACAGCAACAGATACTTGGCAGTTAGATATTAACAACTGTTACTGGGGTGATTTATTCCCCATTATCCAAAGGGCATTACTCTGTGCATATGATTCTGAAATTAACTCCAGTTTTCCAAGAGGCCTTGGCTGCCTGACCCCTTTAATATCCTCATAATGAGTCCATTTACCACGGCAGGGCTGAGGGAAGTTGTTCACTGGCAGATTTGTTTTAAGGGGTGCTCTGTAGGGCAGACCTTGGTGTGTGGGAGCATTGCTCATGGCAGGGGAGCCACAGGGATTTCTTCATTGGCAAAAACTCCTGGGAAAACCAGGTTGTGGTTGTTGGGGTGGAGGAGCCTTGCAGGAGCAATCCATGGTGCTTCCCTCAGCCTCCTGAGTCCTCCCTGGGAGGTTTTTTTTTCCTGCAGTTACACAGGAGTTCTGCCTGTTCCTGCTTGGAAGTGGTTTGTGGAATCCCAGAATGGTTTGGGTGGGAAGGGACCTTCAATCCCACCCAGTGGGAAAATTCCCACCATGCCAGGATGCTCCAAACCCTGTCTGGGACACTTGCAGGGATCCAGGGGCAGCCACAGCTGCTCTGTGCCAGGGCCTCCCCACCCTCCCAGGCAGGAATTCCTTCCTCACATCCTCATCACTGCCAGCCCTGCCCCAGCACCAGGAAGCCAAAAGCAGGAATGCCAAAACAGGACAAAAAAAGGGCAGAGATGTTCCTTCACAATTGCTGAATTTTACTCTTCTTCTTGTTCTATTTAATTTCTTTGAATGCCTCTCTTTGTTTTAATTAGGTGTGGGCAACAGACCTTGACCTTTGCTACAGTGACCAGCTGGCCCTGACCCAGCTCCTGTTGTACATGACAGATGGAAACCTGGATTGTGGCTCCAGCCCCCTGCAAGCACCTCTGGGGACAAAGGGAAGCAGAAGCCAACGGGTCCAGCACGAGGGGACAAAACCTGTAAGCAGTGGTGTGATCCCAAAAATAATCATCCATGGAACCACCAGTTCATCTGTTCTAGAGCAGCTGAGTGTGCTCCCTTCAGGCTTTAAACTGCTGCTCTTGGGGTTTTTTAGGTTCATAAAGTCACGGGATTCCAGCACAGTTAAGAGTTAAAGTGGAGCTGTCCCATCCCTGGCAGTGCCCAGTTTGGAGGATGCCAGCCTGGGATGGTGGGAGGTGTCCCTGCCCACGGCAGGGAGAGGGATGGGATGAGCTTTAAGGTCCTTTCCAACCCAAATCTTCTGGGATTCTATAAAATGGGAAGAACAGCCTTTAGAAAAGTCACCCTAAGAAATGTGTGTGTGTCTGTGTACATCCACACGTGGGTAAAAAACAATTTGCCATATTTTGACAGAAGATTCACAGCTCCCCTTTTTTTTTTTTTCCATCCAGACAGGAGGGAATGTATCACCATTCCAAAAATGTCACGGGGCTGTAATTTAGAGGTTAACGAGCTCTTGATCCATTGTTCTCGTCAAGCAACCACTTTTAGTTGGAGAGAAGTAAATTAGATCTGATTAGTCCCAGTAGTCCAAGTTTTAGAAATGAAAAGTAATCAAGTAGCAACTTTTTTTTTTTAATTAAAATTCTGTCAGAATTAACATAAATTGTCGTTATATGCTTTATTTTTAATCCTTCCTGTATTTCTGAGATTTTTATCTCTTGAAGAGTTAACTACAAGACTGCAGTCTCCCAGGAAAAGAGAAAAAGAAACAAACCAAAGAGACAAATGTTTTTACTGCACATGATCTGTAATGAATGATTAAGTAAAACACTTTGTGTAAAATTATGATGTTAATAATGATTCTGTCCCTTTTAATTTATTAGATATTCTCCATGCTGGTAGGTTTGATTTTGATAAAACTGAGCAGCCCCGGAGTTTGTGCGAGGATTTTATTTTTAGAACTCCCTTCTTTGAAAGAACAAATTTCCTAGATACTGCTGCTCCTGTAATTATGTACAAAACCAATCACTCATTATAGTTAGGATACATTATCTTCTAGACAGATGAGGCTAAATAAGCAACACATTAATAATTCATCCTGCAGTTCATTATGCATGTGTATGCATGCTTTGTAGCTGAAATAAGCACCTCATCAACCTGATGCCAACCCTTAAACAATAGTTCTGTGTTATTGCAGCCACATTCAAGTTTACGCTTGTTAAACTGCTGCTTGGATTATTTTATCAAGCATTCATTTATTTGTGGTCCCCTACTGCAGAGAAACAGATTTTGGAAGCTCCTTTTTTAAGTTAATGACTTGAGCAATGGGTGTTATTAATTCTCAGAATATTATAAACATGATTAATTTTCAGGCGGAGATGTATTAGATCGGGATTTCAGCTATGTCAACTGAAATGAGTCAATGTCAAAACAAATATCATTTTAGGGAAAATACTGTCAATTACAGGCTTTGATGTGCAGTGTCCCTGCTCCCAGGGAACAGTCCAGAATTGAAAAAAAAGCACCAGGGAAGGCCTGGTTTAGAAGAGCTCTGCTCAGAGCTCCTCAAAACAACATCTCTGTTCTTCTGAGCCATGCTGAGGGCTTAAACTTGATGTAGCACTGAAGGGGGGAGAGAGAGGGCAGGGTCGGGTGGGATTTGGGGAATTAATTCCTCCCTGGGAGGGTGGGCAAGGCCTGGCACAGGGTGCCCAGAGCCCCTGGATTCCCTGGGAATGTCCGAGGCCAGGCTTGGCCAGTGAGCACTGAAAATGTGGAAATACCAAACTGTGGTTCACAGAGAGCAATTCTGTGACTTTGTCATGCAGGGGTTTAATGGAAATGTTTGTGTCCTGCAGAGCCCGTGAGGAACAGGAATTCCTGCAAGTGGAGGCTGCTCCACACTGAGTTCACTGGCAAAAAGCCATTTACAGAATCCCAGAATCCCAGCCTGGTTTGGGTGGGAGCTTTAAACTCATCCCATCCCAACCCTGCCATGACAGGGACACCTCCCACTGTCCCAATGTCCAACCTGGCCTTGGGACACTCCAGGGATCCAGGGGCAGCCACAGCAAATCTGGGAATTCCATCCCAGATCTCCCCACCCTGAGAGGGAACAATTCCACCCCAACACCCACCTAAGCCCACCCTCCATGAGTCTGAAGCCATTTGTCCTGTCCCTCCATCCCCCCTGCAAAGGCAGTGATTTACCATTCAGATGTTGGGCTCTGATATAAATGGATGTGGAAAATGAGGAATTCTGTGTTATTCCTGCAGCCCTCCCCAAGCAGCCCCCTGTGTGCCGTGGCCAGCAGCCAGCTGAGGCATTCCAGCCTCTCAGGGATCTCCTACAACCTCCTCCTGCACACCTGTAAAACTCGTGGGGTTGGATTTGACCTGCAGGTATGAAAAGGGGGGGGAAAAGATGAGAAAATGGGATGGTCAGGATTTTGTGTGTGAATTTGAACGTGGTAAAAATCAGTTCTAAAACGAGACGAGTGGGATTCCGGGTCTAGCAATGTAAATCGTAAATCATGGAATTGTTAAGGTTGACAAAAACTTTTAAGATCATCCAACCCACCACCCCCATGTTCACCACTAAACCAAGTCCTCAAGTGCCACAGACTCCTGCTTTTCTTTCAGTTTAAATGTGTGTAAGACTTTTAGGGATTAACCTGCTTCTTGATAAAAATAACTAATAACTAATAATAATAAGGAGAGAATTTTTAAAGATTCTTTTGACCACCTCTTACTGCTTTGAAACCCAAATATTTGCTGTGGAATAGACTCTGCTGTATTTATTGTATTCTCTACAATGAGTTAGAGCAATAATCTGGTTAAACTGAACAATAACTCCTCACACACAATTTCAAACCAGCTCTCCTTAGTTTGGGTGTGTCCTTAGTGTAACACATTTCTTACAATCACCAGTTTTAGGAATAAATTAAGCAATTTTGTCTTAATTAACAGGAAAAACAGGGAACGGTTTTTGTGTTGTATGAAGACCAGA